GTTGGACTGTAGTTTGAATCCACCAGCTGCTTAGAGGGAGACAGATGAGCAGTTACTTTAAGCAAAAATCTATTGCCTTGTAAACTCCATGGAGGATTACAATGAGGCAGAATTAACTTGCAGGAAAGGGGTTTAGTTAGGGTTTTAAAATAAATGTGGCCAAATATGAAATGCTGTGGAACAGCAAAGATAGCAATCCACAGACAGGTGCAGCAACACAAATGAGATTTTCAGTTCTCTTTGCTGTTGAGCAGGAACTTACTCATAGCTGATGCTCTCACAGATTTTTGGGAGGCCGTAAATCATATGAGAAGAGATAGCTTATCTTTTTTCTGTGGAGCCACTGGTCCACTGGTGGATTTGAAGCACCAAAGAGGCACCACCTTTGGTTTAGCAGCACAATTGCCAATGGATTACACCACCAGAGCTCCCCTCTTGTAAAGAGAAAGGGCCTGAATACTGCCTGAAGCCCTGATGGGATGGTGTGTAACACATTGGACTGCTAATCCAATTAGCCACTCTGAGGGAGAAAGATGGGCAGATGCCTCTCATAACTAGAAACCTGATAGAGCGTCACTATGAACTGGAACTGATTTAATGACAGTGACTTTGGTTTGGTTTCAAATGCACCAAATATTTCTCAATGTCTTTTTCCTTACTGATGGTCCTTAGACTGCTCCTGCGGCTCTAAGAGTCCTGGCTTTTTGGTGCCACTCCTTCTAGCTCAGGCTCAACAACAAGCTCAAGCTAACTATATATGTGATGTTGTTAGTTGCCTCAGACTCAGCCCCTGATTCACAGGTGGTCTCATGCATGACAGAATCCCCATGACGGGTTGTGTTTTGGACTGTTGTGTTGCATATAATTTTTCAGTGTGTGATTTTTTTTTTTAAGAAGTAGACTGCCAGGTCTTTTCCTCTAATCATACTCTGGAAGCTTCACTGAAAGCTGCTTTTCCACTGACAGAGGCATGATGGCTGTGCACGAGGTGCACTGGCTGGAAATTGCACTTCTCTCTCCTGAATAGAAGGCAAGATGTCTAACTCTGAATGACCACTGTGCCCAGGAAAGAGTCAAACCCCCCCCTACACTTGCTTTCCTTTTCTCTTTACTGTCCCTTTCTGAATGTCTCCTGGGGATACAGTCTTTTGAGAGCTGCAATACTAACACAAAGATGGCACTCCTCTGGCAGTTTGGATCGACTAGCAGCTGTGAGGGAGAAAGATAGGCAATCTCCGCCCCTGGGATTTACAGCCTCTGAAGACCTGCTGGCAGGTCAGCTAGGAGTCAATTCTGACTCACCAGCAATGAGTAAGTTCTCCAATATAATAGACATTCTAGGCTGGAGATCTCAGCTGATGAACACATTTCACACTGCAGAATACAATTCATGAATGATTCTGGATCATCTACTAACTTTCTGTAGATAAAATAATTGAGATTTGCATATGCATGTGGGACATAAATAAACTGATCTAAAATATGTGAAACTTACTAAATTTTAGATAAAACTTTTGAGAAGCCTAAATATCTAAATCTGGCAATTTTTTAGCCATATGTTAGTTATATGTCAGACTACTTAATTTTTACAGCTTCAATTTTTTTGTTTTGAAGTTTATACTGTATACCATGTTAGGTTGTACAAGTCCTTGCCCCATTATAGAATATAAACTTTTAAGTTAGAAGTGTGTCATATCAAAGTTACAGCATTTTTATCAATCTAGAGCAATTTGAAGTTAAGATTCAAATATATTTTCTATATTTATCTTTAAAAATCGGTGCTTAATTTAAAATGTGTTTTTTATACCAAGTTTTTGCTTGTAGGAACTAATTTGTATCTAAAAAGACTTATAATGGAAAAGTGTACACACTTAAATGAAAATTAAGTTTAATTTCAGGAAAATTAGCATAATATTCTTGAACTGTAAAAGCTATGAAAGATAAATGAAAGTAATTACCCCCAGATAATATTGGAATGTTAAGTCTCTTATCCTTAGGTGTTCCATATTTGCCACATCTCTATTTTATTAGATATATTTAACTATAGACATTAATAATTTTGTCTGAAAGATAAAACCTACCTTAGCCATACATCTCAAAAGATAAATCGTTAAAGAGCCCTGATCAGGGTAATAAAGAGCAATATAATAGCATAGAAGTAAACAAACTACTAAAGAGCCCTGATCAGGGTAATAAAGAGCAATATAATAGCATAGAAGTAAACAAACTACTTTAAATTTAGGGTTTCCCTCCCATAATACATTTATGTTGTTAATTATAATTATTTTCATTTTTTTGCCATCAAAACATTTAATTCAGAAAGAAGCTCTACATGATTTTCAGTGTGTAATTACATCACAGTCTGTGGGCAGGAATTCTTCCTGTATAACTCAGTTCTAACAGTTACTTCTGATACAGTTACCCACATATGTTAGAGCAGAATTGTTTCAGAATGTTTTCAGGAGCTAATTAGGTGAACATAGATCTTCAGGTCTTTTCTTTCCACCCTAAGTATCTCTGAGTGGATTTGAATTGTCAGCCTTTCAGTTAATGGTCAAGCACTTAACCATTTTTGTATACTCCTATATAATGGTTATATATTGAATTAACCAGAGAGCATCAAAAGGAGATGGAGAGAATACACAGAGTCACTGTACCTGAAAAAAAAAAAATGATTGACACTGAAGAATTCTAGGAAGTACCACATGAAAAGGAGCCAATGGTAATGAAAGAGGACGTAGAAGTTGCATTGAAGATATTGGCAAAAAATAAGGCCCCAGGAATCGATAGGATACCAATTGACTTGATTCAATGAACAGATGCAGTCTTGGATACACTCACCAGTCTATGCCAGGAAATCTGGAGGAAGGCTGTCTGGTCAATGGATTGGAAGAGGTACATATTTTTTCATATTGCCAAGAAGGGTGATCCAGTGTGGAATGTGGAAATTATTGAACAACATCATTGATATCACATGCAAGCAAAATAGTACTGAAGCTCATTAAAAAATAGCTGGAACAGTATATAGACAGGGAATTGCCAGAAGTTCAAGTGGAATTTAGAAGAGGCTGTGGCACCAGGGATATCATTGCTGATGCCAGATGGATCCTTGCTGAAATTAAGGAATACCAGAAGAATGTCTATTTGTGTTTTATTGACTATGTAAAGGTGTTTGACTGTGTGGATCATGACACATTGTGGCTCACATTGAGAAGAATGGAAATCCCAGAGCACTTTATTGTGCTCATGAGAAACCTATACCTGGATCAGGAGGCTATTTGGGGAACAGAGCAGAGGAGCACTGCATGGTTTGGAATTGGGAAGGGAGTGCACCAGGGATGTATTCTATTTCCACACCTGTTCAATCTATCTGCTTAGCAAATTATCTGAGAAGCTGGACTCTATGAACAAGAATGTGGCATCAGAATTAGAAGAGAGACTCATCAATAACTTTGTTTTGCAGATGACACAACCTTGCTTGATGAAAGTGAGGAGGCCTTGAAGCACTTGTTGCAGAAGATCAAAGAATGCATGGATTTTATCTCAATATCAAGAAAACAAAGATTCTTACCACCGGACCATTAGGCAGTGCCATGATGAATGGAGAGGAGATGGAAACTGTCAATAGCTTCATCTTGCTTGGAAACCACATTCCCTTGGTATTAGCAGTCAAGACACAAGGGCACATATTGCACTGGGGAAATCTGCAGTTAGGGACCTTTCCAAATTATGGAGGAGTAGTGATGTCAGTTTGAGGACTAAGGAGTATCTGATTCAGGCCATAGCCTTTCCAATTACTAGCTAAGCACCTGAGAACTTGACTATGAATAAGAAAAAGAATTTACACCTTTGAGCTGTGGTATTGGAGAAGAGCACTGAACATGCCATGGATGGCCAAGAGAGCCATCTTGGAAAGGGTGCAGCCAGAGTGCCCTTTAAGGCAAGAATGATGAGACTTCACCTCACATACTTTGGAGATATTGCTACGAGGTGCTGTTCCTTGGAGAGGGACATGATGTTGAGAAGGGTGGAGGGTCAGCGAAGGAGAGGAAGACGCTCAACTAGGTGGACTGACACAGTGACTGCTGCAATGGGGTCTTGTGTGTCAGGAAGTGTGAGGATGGTGCAGGACAGGACTAGGTTCAGATTTTTTGTTCATGGGGTCACTATGAGTCATATTTGACTCGAGGCACCAAACAACAACATATAACGGTTAAGGCTATTGAAATAAGCAAATAAAGCAGTTAGTCCTTTGTTACTATAGAAACTTGAGTCTCAATGACAAGCCAACTTTTTTGCTATTTCCATGGTGCTTATACAGATACGAAGGAGCCCTGGTGGAACAATGGTTAGATGCTCGGTTGCTACCTGAGAGGTTGTTGGTTTAAATGTACCCAGAAGCTTCGGAGAAAAAGACCTGGCAATCTGCTCCTAAGGATCACAGCAGTTCTACTCTGTAACATGGGCCAACATGAATAAAAATGGACTTAATTGCATCTTACAATAAAAATATCTGGCTATGACTATCTTTTATTATTTGCATGCTCTGGTGGCCTAATGGCAAGAAGCTACACTGCAGTCACAAAGGCTCGAGGCTTGAGGCTCGAGGCCACCAGCTGCTCCGCAGGAGAAAGATGGGCAATCTCCTCCCATGCGATTAACTGCCTCTGAAAACCCACTGGAGGGTCAGCTATGGGTCAGTTCCAACTTTACAGTACAACAACAAGTAAACAATATGTTAAATAAAATTGATGATACAACTGATTATCCATGAACTGTGAATTTGCTTGAGCAAAATTCAAATTATAGAACAAGTATTTCTTTTGTTAAGTACATTTTATGTTCTTCCATCTAGAAGAAGCCTGGCTCTATACAACTTTTCTGCAGCATAATCCTGATAACCTGGATCTCCTGAATGCCTTTATAAAACCTTAATGTTACTTAGATTTTTTTCAGACTACATTCACCTAAGTAGGACGCACAAAGTCACTGCACGGTACCTTTACTGCACCGTTCTCATGGATGGTGATACAGTTATCGATGTCTTCTGAGAGCTGGTACAAGGCCTGAGCTGTTGCACGGTGTACATTTGTGTCCTTTGATTTCAGGTAATGCACGAGTGGAGCCACTGCTTTGTGCTCGCCAAAGGCCGCTTTGTTTCTGCCCCACATACAGCAACGGGAGATCGCTTCCGCTAGATGACGCCTCAGTTTATCATTATTCTGAAAAGGTGAGAAGGAATTGTGGTAAAGGCATTTGCCTGATTTTTATTACCAATTAAGATGGGAGTGAGTCAAGAAAGGATTCGCAGGCTACTTAGGTGGCAAGAAGCTTCTCTGCAATCCAGAAGACATGCAGTTTGAGGCCAGCCACCAGCTGCTCTGTGGGAGAAAGATGGGCAATCTCTCCCTACTCCGTATGATTAACTATCTGAAAACCCGCCAAAAGGTCAGCTGTGGGTGGGTTCCTACTCTATGGTACACAATAACAACAAAGGGAATGTGTGTTTTAGGGAGTCCTCAATGGAGCATAGGCTCTAACCTGTCTCATTTTCTGAACTTGATATACTATTGTTGTTAGGTGCTATGAGTCATCTATGACTCAGAGCAACCCTATAAACAACAGTTTCCTACCTGGCCCTATCCTGCGCCATCCTCATGATATGCTCAAGCCCCCTGTTACAGTCTCTGTGTCAGTCATCTTATTGAGGGTCTGACTTTCCTCCTTGCTCAGCATGATGCCTTTTTCCAAGGACCCAAAGAAGATGAAGTTCAATGATCCTTGCTTCTAAGGGGCACCTTGGTGGTACAGTTCAATCACAGATCAGGTCTCTCATAGTTCAACTCCAACTCACTGCCCTCAAGTCAGAACTGACTCATAGCTGGCCCACCAGGGGGTGTTCCGCAGCTGCAAATCATGTGGGAGGAGATTGCCCATCTTTCTCTCACAGAGTGGGGGGTGGATTCAAACTGCCAGAGTGGTGCCATTGTTAAATTAGCGGCACAACCCTTAAGGACCACACCTGAGCTCTCGGATAGAGTTTGCACAAAGATCATTTTGCTCAAACCTTGATTTCCTAGTAAGTACATTCATCATGAAGTTACAGATCACTAAGCTATTTAATAATTTTTTTAAAAAAATACAGAGATTGTTAGATATTCTCTGATGCACTGGTGACATGGTAGTTAAAGTGTTCAGCCCCTAGCTGAAAAGTCTGTGATGTGAATCCACCAGCTTTTTGACAGGAGAAGGACATGGCAGTTTGCTTCTGTAAAGATTGTTATTATTTGTTATGGGGTCGGAACTGACCCATAGCTGACCCTCCAGCAGGTTTTTAGGGGCAGTTACTCACACGGGAGGAGATTGCCCCTCTTTCTCTTGCAACTCAAACTCTGCCACCAAGTCAGAACTGACTCGTAATTGATCCCCCAGCGGGTTTCTGAAGCTGCAAATTGCACAGGAGGAGATTGCCCCTCCTTATCCCACGTGTCCTGATTGGCAGTGCAGATTCTCGCCACTAGGCAGGCCACCACATAAGTATTGCATAACTGAGAAGGATTCTGCTTTCTCTTTAATAAGTATAGTGTTCTCCTGACTCCGACTACTGCTCTAGTGGTGGAGTCCAGAGGGAGTTGCACTGCTAACCCATAGGTACTGCTTCTCTGGCGGTTCAAATCCACCTGCTGTTTCCTGAGAGAGAGATGAGCAGTCTTCTCCTGTGTGAAATACAGACTCAGAAATCTCGCTGGTATGAGTTGATTCCAGCTTAATAGCAATGAGAGTTCTGCTGAACCAGGCAACAACTAGATGTCCTTAATTGAAACTGGTGATTAATTTTAGGAATTGAGTATTTGAACGGTCTTTTAAAAAGTCTTCTAGACCAAGCTTCCTTCTAATGTTTGAATTTCGGATCTATCGCATTTGTTCCAAGTGGTCATCCAAGCTCTGCTCAAATACTTCTGATCACGGAGAAGTCATTGTCTTTTAAGCCTACTTATTTCATCTGGCATAGCTGTACATAAGCATTACCATTTTGCCAAAGACTTCTAGCTTAAAAACAAATGCCATCAATCCAAGCTTTCTATGCTGGGGGAGGTCCATTTAACTTAAGGCTATTAACACAGATTTAAGAATAATGATAGTGATGATCCCGGTGAAGAAAAGAATTTCCTAAAATAAGCAACAAGGACAAAAAAAAGGGGGGGCAATGCTAGTTGAACAGATGAGAGTTAAAACTTAGATAACAATGAATGAATATATATATAAAAGAAAGTTAACTGTGGAGGAGAAAGAAAGCAGGGTGGAGGAAAATGCATCAATGAATGACTGGAAGTCCAACTTTTCTGTAAACTTTCATTAACATCACAATTAAAATAAAAAAATTAAAAACAAAAAACCCAAAATGTAGATAACAGTGCCTGTATTTGTCATTGTCTTGCTTGCCAATGGTAATTATTTTTTTATAAAGTCCTGTCATATTAACATCTAAACTAAAAATCATTGCATGTGAATGGAATCTCACTCACAGTAACTCTACATCAGATTTCCAAGGTTGTAAATCTTGAGAAGAGACAGCCTGTCTTCCTCCCCTGGAGCGACTGTAGGATTCCAATCACCTAACTTTCAGGTGGCAGTCCATAATGGCATACGTGATTTCACCAGGGAATAGAACAGTTTAAAATACATTTTTTGTACATATTATCATCAAAAAAAATGAAAGAAGTTGACCAAAATCACAGCTCTCGTAAGCAATGAATTGTAAGTTTGAATATTGGCTTTAAATTCATTGTTTTTATTACAATTCATGATAATTTAGGACAAGTATTTTTTAAAAAAGTATGTTACTTACTGTATTTGCTAGTTTTGACAGTAAAGGGACAACTCCATGATCTGTAATAACAGCTAAGTTTTCTTGATCTTTTGCTATATTGGTAATAGCAGCACATACACTGGCCAAAACTTCTTCATTGTCTGATTTCAGCAAATTGACAACAAGTTCCAAACCACCAACAAAGGAACGGACCATTTCTCCAGCATCCTAGATAAAAATAAAGGTAGAATAAAAACAACACACTAAAGTAATTTTTTTTAAGCAGAAACCAGTGGCATGAAAGACAAACTGAGTTTATTCCCAAATTACAAATAATCTCTGTGTATGTATAAGCTTGCTTTAGCATGAGAGAGATAGAAACAGAGAGAGATGTGAGTTATAAAGGTGATCTGGTGGCCTAGTCCTCAGGAAGTTGCACTGCTAACCCCAAAAGGCCCTGCCTATCTTTTACTTTCCCTGTTTGACATCTCTTTCCAAGAACTGACCCTCCTGACAACATGTCCAAAGTATGTGAGACAAAGTTTCACCATCCGTGCCTCTAAGGAGCACCCTGGTTGAACATCTTCCAAGACAGATTTGTTTATTATTTTGGCAGTCCATGGTGTATATTCAGTATTCTCAGACAACATCAGAATTCAAAGGCATATACTCTTCTTCAGCATGCCTTTTTCACTTTCCGACTTTCATGTGAATATGAAGCAGTAGAGACCATCATAGCTTCAGTCAGGTGCACCTCGGCTTACACTCACACTGTCCTTGCTGTGGAGTTGGAACCCATTCACAGTTTACCCTCCAGTGGGTTCCTCAAGCCTGGAAAGCACAGGAAAGGAGGTGGCCGATCATTCTCCCAAGGAGCTTCTGGTGGCTTGGAACCACCTGAGAGGTGCTGTCTTCGTGTTAGCAGTATAATGTCCTACGGTCTACAGCGATAGAGTTCCCTGGTTATAGTTTTTGTTGTTGATGATGTTATGTGGAGTCAAGTCACTTGTGACTCATAGTGACCTTATGTACAACAGCCCTAAACCCTGCTCTATCCTGTGCCAATCTTACTGTCTCTGACATACCTACCCCCACTAACCCAGTCACTGAATCAGTCCATCTCATCGAGAGTCTTCCTCTTCTGCATTGTCCCTCCACTCTCCCCAGCATGACACTCCTCTCCAAGGAATGGTCCCTCCTTGTAACATGCCCAAAGTATGTCAGATGAAGCTTCAGAATCCTTGACTCCAAGGAACATTCCAGCTTCACCCTCTACAGGACAAACCTATTTGTTTTCCTAGCAATCCATGGTATATTCAACACTCTTCTCCAGCACCACAGCTCAAAGGTATCAATTCTCTTTCTATCATCCCTAGCCACTGTCCAACTCTCCAATGTATAGCAGGCAACTGTGAAGACTATAGCCCATATCACGCACACCTTGGTCTCCAGCCTGACATCATTGCTCTTCAGTACTCTTTCCCAATGCAATTCATTTCTTGATTACCTGGCTGCTGGTACCAAGAGTGTTGACTATGGAGCCAAACAAACTAAAACTGTTAACTATCTCGATATCTTCACCATCCATACTGACGCTGCCACTTGATCCAGTGGTGAGAATCTTTGTTTTCTTGATGTTGAGCTTTAATCCGTATTGAAAGCCGCAGTCCCTGATGCTCTGCAGCAAGCGCTTCAGGTCCTCCTCAGTTTCAGCAAGAAGGGTTGTGTCATTTGCATAACGCAGATTGTTGATGATTCTTCCACCAATCCTCATGCCACATTCCTCCTCACATTCCTCCTTATACAGCACTGATGATCTGTTCTGCATACAGATAGAAAAGGTGTGGAGACAGAAAACATCCCTGGTGAATGCCCTTCCTGATTTTGAACAATGTAGTGTCTCTTTGCTCTCTTCTGATTGCCTCTTGGTCCAAGTATAGATTTCAAAAAAGCACAATCAAATGTTCTGAGATTCCCATTCTTCTTAGAGTCAGCCATAGCTTGTTATGATCCACACAGTCGAAAAAAGTCTTTGCATAATCAATGAAGCACAGATAGACATTTTTCTGGTATTCTTTGCTTTCTGTCAAGATCCATCTAATATTATCTATAATATCCCTAGTACCACGACCTCTTCTAAATCCAGCCTGCACATCTGGCCATTCTCTATTGACATATTGTTCTAAATGTTTTTGGATAATTTTCAGCAAAATCTTGCTTGCATGTGATATCAACGATATTGTTTGATAATTTCCACACTCTGATGGGTCACCTTTCTTTGGAATGGGAACAAATATCGATACTTTTTCCAGTCAGTCGGCCAGCTGTCTGTCCTCCATATTTCTTGGTACAACTTAGTGAGCACATCCAGGGCAGCGTCTGTTTGTTGAAATAAACCAATTGGTATGCTGTCAACTCCTGAAGCCTTGTTTTTTGCCAATTCTTTCAGAGCAACTTGAACTTCCTCCATCACCACAGGCTCTTGCTCATATGTTATTCATTAAATTCTTCAGTGTCAGCTAATTGTTTCTGATACAGTGACTCCTCTTCCATCTTCCTTTATTGCTTCTTGGATCATTTATCATTCTACCGAAAGCATCCTTAAGTACTGCCACTCATGGCTTGAGTTTGTTTTTCAACTCCTTCAGCTTAAGAAACGCTGAGCAAGTTCAGCCCTTTTGATTTCTGACTCCTGATCTCTGCATATTTCATTATAGTATCTTGCTTTTTCGTCCCGAGCTCCACTTTGACATATTCTGTTCAGCTCTTTGATTTCTTGATTTCTTCATTTAGCTTTGGTTTTTCAGCACTCTAATGCAATATTCAGAGTCTCATCTGACATTCATCTTGGTACATAGTGCAATATATATATAATTAAGCTGGGGTCCCTAGATGTGGTAAGTCATTAACTCAATTAACTGCTAACCAAAAAAATTGAGATTCAAATCCATCCAGATGTGGGTGGATTTGAATTTCCATTCAAATGGGAAGAAAAGGCTAGGGATTTGTTTCTTTGTTTGGGAGGGGGATTTACTTTGGAACAATCAGTCTGTGAAAATTCAGAGGAGCATAGCTTTATGCAAACACACATGGGGCCACCATGAGTCATGAGTCAACTGGGTGGCAACTGGTGAGGTGTGAGATATTGTTAGGAGACTTAGTCACTGCCACCAACGCTAAAAAGAAAAGAATATTAACCAAGTGTGATGGAATATAAGTTGATGAGATCAGTTCACAGAGCCAACTCTGCCTTGCTATTTCTACATCGACCCCTCAGAGAATTTACTATTTCCTGACTCCTTCGCTGCTTTATTGGTAGAGACAGTAAGCCATAACAGTGGGGCCACACTGGGAAAAATAACAAAAGTGATCGCATCTGCCTCTGATCCAAAAACTTCCTAAGGTGCATGGTATGAGATGCATGGAGCCAACGTCCCAATGAGATCATGGCCATGGCTCACTGGGGTCCTGTAATGTTTACAGTTCTTAGGACAGTGAAATGTTAGACCTAAAAGCCTATGGGCCCCTTCCAAAATTTGTTTATTTGTTTTGAAGGTGAGATTTCTTTCTTTTTTCCTCTCTTAATGTTTAAAGATGTTAAACATATGACGTCTTGCTTCCATCGTTTCTGTGGAAAGGAAGACAGTATATTTGAGGATGGAAAAGTAATTGCTCTGCCAAAACTGTCTTTTGCTAATGCTAAACGGCTGGGCAAATTCACCACATTTTCCACCTTCTCACATATCTTAAAAACTTGTCTTTGCCAATTTCACCACTGGTACAAGATTGGCTATGCATAATTCAAATTTTCATCTGCAATGAGAAAACCCTTAGTAATAATAGTAATATAAAACAATAATGACAGCCTGATTTTTTAAGTTGAAAGTGGACTTCCACATACATTTTTAAAGAAGTTATGATCGCCCTATTTATAGATGCAGAGGCAACAAAAGTTAAGGAATTTCTTAAGGTTCCTGGATAATTAATGACAAAATGGAAAATGAACTTGATTTTCCAGATTTCTCAATTACTGTCTTTTCCTTGTACCCCATGTACCTGTTGCCATTGAGTCAGTTTAAAAATTAGAAATACTATTAGTACAAAATGGAATTTCAACAGACGGTATCCATGGTTAGAAGGCAGCTTGCCCTGTCATTTTCCTGCAGAGAAACAGGTGGATTTAAACTGCTGGCCTTTCAGTTAGCAACCAAGTTCTTAACCACTGAGCCATTGGAGCTCCCTAAAGATTAAGAGGTACCAACCATTATAATTCTTAGATTACATCATATTAAACAATCAGAAGAATCTTCACAGTTTGGGGAGATGAAAGCGCCAAAGAGATCAAGTTACATGCCAGGAATATTTCTTACATCAAACAAGAATACTAATTGAGAAAGAGAGTATGAAATACTTTTATGATGTTATTAAAATAAAGTTTGAATGGTCAGATAAGTAGAAAAAGGTGTCACATTCAAATAAAACAAAATTAAGTACACAAATAAGATGAACAGTAAAATGTAGCAAAATAGTGTCATTTGGCTAAAACTCAACTAATAGGAAAATATTAAGACATTATTTACAGATTAATGAGTAAAACAGAAAACTGGATGTTTTGGCAAAGACCAGTTAAACTAATGGGTATGAAATTCACTATCTGCCTCCAGCAAAAAGGACCAGCAGTTGTCTGATGAGGTGAGATATACATGATGCAACTTTAAAGCACACACAAGGCAAGTGTACCATGACTTAAGACAAAATTATTTTTAATTGGAAGAGCTATAAAACACCACTCAGTGCCATATTGAGACCATTGAATGCGTAACAGAGTATTGGAAAATGTCAAATAGTAGGATATAGACAGGATGCTTATAAGAAATTCCAAAAATGCACAGTCTTAACAGTAGAGTTCACTCACACATTGCCATAGAGTCAGAACTGACTTACAGCTAACCCTCCAGCAGGAACTGACTCACAGCTAACCCTCCAGCAGGCTTTTGAAGAAAGCACACAGGAAGAGATTGTCTTTATTCTGACGAGCTGCTGATGGATTCCAACTGCCAGAGATTCAAATTTCTGATTAACAGCAGTACTATCTATGGATCAAGCCACCAGAGTTCCCATCACAGCAGAACAATGTGTTACAAAAATCCAACTGACAGGTGGATCATGTCCTGAAGGTACATTTGAGAAGTTAAACTCTTTAAAAATCATGCACAAAATTCTATACA